TGTGTGTGTGTGTGTGTGTACGTGAAAGTTCCTGTACTCTATTGCCAACATAGTTATACAGAAAGAAAAACAGCTCACTGCAAAATATTGGATGGTGGGTTCTCAGCTGCTAAGAGACATGCAGTGGTTGCATGAGCTCCATATGATGTAGTGGACCAACAGTTATCTAACTCTGGATCCACTGGTGCTGGGGATAGTTGGTAACTTAAATGACTGGTATCACTCCTTTACTCCTGAGTGTTTTTACAAAGTTGGAACATCAATTTTCTTCTAAACAGTTTCCAAACAGTGATTTGTTTTCTTCCTGAGCTTTGAGTGTGGATGAACTAAACTTAGTTGTTTAAACAAAAGACAATCTACCACTGTTCAGGAACATAAAAGCAACCAACCTTAGTGGCAATAAAGCAATGACCAAGTGTGGAATTTGCACCCTGGAAGCATCCCAAAGTTTGCTTTTGTTTTCAAAAGGAAGATTGTGTCACCTTTTTAGCATTGCCCATAATGTCCAGCTCGTTTGGGTGGTGATGTGTACAGTCCTCTATACCTCACCTTTATTATGTGAGTGGAGAACAAATTAAAGTTAAGACGCTGATGTACAAAAGAAGCTGCAGATCAAAGGAAAAGGAGTCTTACCAGGAGGTAACAATCCTCGGTAACCAGAAGAAACACATTTCTGTGCTCCCTCTTGCCCCCCCCCCCCCCTTTTTTTTTTTTAAGTAAACTATTTGAGTGGGAGTGTCCAATTCACAGACAGCACAGTCTATTCACGGAGTCATTCAAAGGCACTTTCTATGCTCACAGTAGTATTTTCTGCATTACTGATGGCATTCTCTTGGCCTTTAGCTTTGCAACAAGTTTAATACATAAAATACATGCAAGACCCATGAGACAAATTGAACAGTACATTACATCTGAACTGCGCAACCCCAAAGCACTAAACAATTTTTCCTGTATGTTATAGTTCGGCTGGTGCCAAAGACAGAGCCAGCTAATGGATGGACTTCTTTTGCTGCATTAGAAACAACATGACTTAATAGTCTAGTAAATGTTTCTGCCTTTCAAGCATGTTAATGATCTCCAGCTTCACATCTGAAGTATTTTCCATGCTAAGATTCCTGAACAATGCACTAGAGAATGCTCTGTACGCAAAGCAGGGACAGACTAGAGCCAAATTGGAACAATCCTGGCACGGTTCTCTCATGCATACCAGCATGTAAGAAGATACAGCAATTTCAGCCAGCCAAGAGATA